GCTCAACGCCTTTCCATAAACCAAGAAACAAAGACCCAGGGAAGTAATGTGATTGTATCCAAACCATGCTGCTGGACTAAACCAGAGAGGGAAAGAAAGCCGCCATGCCCACCTGCTGTGCAGGTGCCTTTTTGAAAAAGTTACACAGATGTTTAGTTTAAATAAACATCCTCCAAGAGTTGCAAACAAGTTCCCTGGCCTAAACTCGCTCAAGTGCTTTTAGGATGTCCCCTATTCTTGGAAATTAGCTGTTTCCAAGATTTTTCAAAAAGCAATGCCACAGGGTTAAGAATGAGCAGATCCTCTTAAACGAGGTCTCTGACTTTTAGTGTGATGTGGGCCAACGTGGCCAGTGCCGGAGTTTCTGTGCACCACGGTTTCCTGGGTCCCTCTTTTAGAACTGTGGTAAGCCAAAGTGTACAGAAAGTACAGGACGGAAAGAAAGCAACCACTTTAGTCCTAGGCCCTACAACTTATCGAAGGGGAAGGACTTACCAAAAATAAACAATGACCCAGGGAGGCGAGGAACCCTCCAAACTATAGTTACGTTCACTAGTAGAATTTTTCTGAGGCTGGAGTCTTAGACAAAAGGTTCACTTTTACTCATCTTTGGGCTTTGGTTGACTTTCTTTTTTAAGAATTCAAAAGAAATATGGGAAGGAAAGGAGACTAACCCCTGCAGCTAGGCCATCTGAGATCTTCTGACTATAGCCTGGGGTTCATTTATTCATGTGGCCAGAGATCAGAGCCATGGGACTATTGGGGCTGCCGACTATAATACACTGATTGGCCCAATAGCTGGAAGAAGGGGCTTTACCTGAGAATGGGGAGAGCACTTCTCCCTTCAGACACAGGCTGATGAGGAAGTGAGTTCAAGGATCCTTCCCCTACCCTTTTACCTGGGAGTAGGACAAAACAAGAAGACAGCTCTTACTAAGATTTCTCTTGCCAGTAATACAGAATCTCTGCTCTCATCCAGCCCTCACAAGTCCTAAGACCAACAAGTGCCAGGGGTAGGCAGCAGTAGGCATCAGACCAGAGAATCAGCCGCAGATGAGAAAAGACCCAATGTACACACATAACAAAACCAAAAAAGCCATTTTATTGAAAATTAAATTCAAACTTCAAATTAATATTACAATCATGAGAAAAATGCCAAATAATTCAATTTACAGTTGCAACATAAAATACAAATAGTCCCTTTGAAGTTAAAAGTAAACTCATCCACAATCATGATCTGTGGCACAAAGCAGAATTTGTACAATATGTGCATGGAAAGCAAATCTTGGGCAACAGCAATTGGAAAAAAAAAATAAAATAAAAAGCTTATATTTACACAAAATGCTACAAATATTTGTGTTCCACAGAAATCTAAGTATGGTAAAGCATATCCAAAAACATTGAATTTTATTCAAAATACCTAAAAAATTACTGTGTTACTGTTTTTGGCTGATATATTTTAAAGTACTGCATTAAAAAAGCAAACAGTTATTTGTAAACATGAAGTAAACATATCTAAAAGTTCTCACATAGAAAATATTTTTTAAATGCATTATCGTTTTCAGAACAACAAATTCAAGGTTCGGAAGAATTGTCTTTTATTTGTTTCTTATGGTTCTTTTGGATATTGTAGTCATCCTTACTGTTTTTGCTAATGCTTTGTGTTTTCATGTATTAACCTAGATTCTGAGCCAGTCCCTGTCCTCAGAATGGAGGGAACTCTTTCAGCCAGCACACACATCTCCTTCCCTCTGAATTTGCAATGGGTGGTGCCTAATGGTGTAGACTTCTCTGCTCATTTTGAAAGGGCCCTGGTGGAGTGAGACAGTCTAAAGGGCAAACAATAATTCATCTAGTTAGTCTCTTAGTTCCAGATTGGATGTTATCCTGATCGTTTCAAACCAAAGCTGTGTACTTTTTTTTGGAACTCTGACACAGGTTAAAATTGATGAGACAAATGGATAAAAATGTGGCTTCACTGGTCACTCTGTAAAATCCAGCCATATTTGTGCTATATCAAGAACCATGCCATTTTAATTCCAAGGAACCAGAGTGTTGACTAGTATATGGTTCCATCGTAGTAATATTTGCAGGATATACTACTACAGATCACACAGGTGGCCCAGTGCAAATGAAGGGGTCAATAAAAAAAGAAGAAGAAGAAGAAAAGCTTAATCCCCAGGCCAAAAAAAGGTCAGAATTTGATCTTAAAAAAAAAAAAAGGAAAGAAAACATGAATTACTCCGGGTGGTAGGAGTGGGGGTGCAGGGAAGAAGTGCTTGAATTTTTCCAAAGGAAAAAAATTTTTTTAAAGTGTTTCTGGGTTGCTGCCTGCAGCCACTATAATAACATTTCAACACAAAAGCATCCCTAAAATCACTTAGTATGTGTACTGTAAACTTAAAAAAGCCCTTTTAACATTAAAAAATAATGCACAAATACAGTACCTTATTATTATTATTATTATTATTAAATAGCTGGTACTGGCATTAACATTTTTATGTCAAATCATTAAAAGTGAAATGTGTAACCAGACACTGGCTTTTTTAAGTGCTGCTGAAACAAACACACATATTTTACACTTAAAAATAAATGGACAGTGGCATGCTTCAAGCTACCACATACAAACAATAAATAGTATCAATTCCTACTTCCATCTTTAAGTAATAGAAAAGTGGCTAATTTATCTAAGCATACTTGGTATATAACCTTTAGAAGGTTTTTGTTTTGTTTTCCCCTCAATTTCATTCAAAGGTTGTAACTGTGTGCCACCCCATAGCACAGAGTAGGACTGCCCCATAGGGTTTTCTAGGCTGTAACCTTTGTGGGAGCGGATAGCCTGGTCTTTTCTCCTGCAGAGCAGCTGGAGGGTTTGAACCACAGACCTTTGGTTAGCAGCCGAGCTCTTAATCTTTGCTGAGCTCTTAACCACTGTGCCACCAGGGCTCCTTTGATCAGGAGTCAGGATGAATTCTAAGGGAGACTCCAAGGCAAGAAGCACAGGCCCGATCACCCCACAAACTGACCTGCAATGCTTAGAGGCCCGTAGTGGTGGGCACGAGAAGGACTAGAAGGCTTCTGGGGGCTGGAGGCAAATCTCTGTATCATTTTTTTTAGGGCACACAGAATTCAAATGAAGGGACTCTGACCTTTGGGGGAGGAGGGCAAGGATTTGCCTAATGGTGTCATTAAATGATCCTGGCTTCCATTAAGGATTCACACTTGGGGATTTGCCACATTGCTGCTAAGAGTGGTCAAAGTGCATCCTACAGACAGCTGTAGCTCAAATTCAGACACAGTAGTAGACACCAAACTCCACATACCCTGGTCCTCCTGTGGCCCTTCATTCTGAGAAATACAAAAGTCAAAGGCTGCATCATTGGTGCCCACAGGCTATATGTTCTCTCAGATTAGCTACCTGCTGGAACCTGCCTGCTATTTTAGATGACCTGCTCCCACAGGACAATGACTTGATTCTGCTCCTTTAAATGCGAATTATGATGACAAGCTGCCAGTAGGGCGCTGGGTAAGGCAGATTTGGGTTTCCCTGATTTACTGTTTGGTAAGGCTGGTTGGTTAAGAATCCCTGGTGCAATGTTGCTTTCCTGTGCTATTCCGCATAACATGATTGACTCTCTATCCACATGTGTGGCTTTAAGCTGACTATGTCTTCACTATGAAGCCTGGCGATTTAGAGTTCTGCTTAACTCTGAAACCACAGAACATTCTTCTGCAGTTCAACGATTCACTTGTGCTTGTCTTTTTTTTTTTTAATATGACAAGAGTCATAATTATTTGAAAGAAATTAGGAAACCACATCACTCCAGCATTTCATGCTGTTAAAGGGCAATATTAACTGATAAACGGCTAAGAGTTGTTTTTTAAACCCTTAATTATTGCTTAAAAAGGCAAAGCTGTGTTGGAGGCAGTCGAAGATCTGAAAGAACTAAGCATAACATTTCCTTCATACATCACAAAAACAAGCTACATCTAAAATATTTGGAGATGGAAGTAATTTTAAAAATCACATTGTGTCTGGATAAACTGAAATTGCTTAGCAATGTTTCAGATATGGCTCTAGCCCACTGAAGAAATTTGTTATTTAATAAAAAGCACTTTTAGAGACCGAAGTCAACATATCAATACACTAAGAAATGTTTCAAGGGTCCAAATGTCATTAAATAATTATAAATATATCTTTAAAGTTATATGACCATTCACGTTAGCAAGTTACCTCAGATTTTACACATACTCATAATTTAAAAATAAAAAGGAAACAAATAACACACAGCCAAACACAAACACTATCTATACCATTATGGCTATAATAAAGTATTGCCATTTTCAGTTTTGCATAAAAGGAAAAGGAGGGGCTCAGGGCATGGGATTTATTTGTGGTTAAATGGGAAAAGGGCGGGGGGGAGAGTACAAAAAGTAAAATAAAATAATCTATCCTGATCAGTACTTTTGAAGTCACTTTTTTAGAGTAGAAAACATACTGAACCAAACAGTTCAAATAAGTACCTGCAGCAAGTCTGAAAGCAAAGTTTGGAACAGTTACTCTGAATGGATGGTACTGTAACGGAAGCATCCATTCTCTCTCTTTTCCCTTTACGTGCATCTCGACTGGCTTTGTAAGCTGGTCTGCAGAGTGCACTGGTCCATGCGCTGCAACCATGAGGGTGTGTGGTTTCAAAGCACAGGGAGGAAGCGGCTTTGCTCTTCTTCCTCCTAAGCCTGGAGTCCACCTCTCTGAAGTGGCATATGAATCGATTACATATGATAATCGACCAAACAACAACAGCAACAAAAATACCTTTTCCTTTGTTTGCTCCTTTGTAAAAGTTCATCTTAAATAGAAAACAACTGGAAACCTGCTTATGATTGTCTCTCTTGGCCCTTTGGCTTCTCAATATCTACCTTCTTATGGTTGCAAGAACATGACTAAGTGAATGAAAAATCTTCTAAAAATAGGCACTTTGTAGATAGCTAATCGATATACATATATATGCACTCTCTCTATATATGTATATATTGATACATTTAGGGTGTGGCTCCCAGATACCGCTGGGCCACTGCTGAGGAATTTCAGTATGGTCGCCAAACAGATTCATCCATTCTGCCACTAGAATTCAAAACAGTTGGGGAACTGCTGTGGCTTCCATCAGCGTCAACACCATCATTCTGGTTAGGCAAATTTGGGTTTAATAGCGTGCTGCCATTCGAGGTGGTGGTGCATGGCGGAAGCATTCTGGAAGGAGAGCGGTCTCCCCCCGGCACCATGGGGAACTGATAGGATCCCGACGAAGTGCCATAGTAGAGATATGGAGTGCTGCTGGTCTGGAAGGGTCCACTCTGGCTTTGGGAAGAGCCGGGGTAGGGTGGTGGCAGGTAGGTGTGGTAGTGAGTGGTGGCGGACATACCGAGGGACATGCCTGAGGTGACTGGCGGGGTGTAAGTAAAGGTGGCTGGATAGTGCATTCGTGGGTTGGAGAAGCGGCTCTCAGTGAGGGATGAAATGCTTGGGAACTGCCTGGGGTCTGAAAAAGGGCCCAGTTCTGAAGCACCTAAAAATTACAACAGAAGATGGAGGAAAAATCTGTAAATATCAATTAAAATAATGATAGAATTTTTTACAAGAAAAAAGAAACCTTTAGCTTTTCCAAAAAGGAACAGCAAGCCACAAACAGACCTTCAAATGCACCAGTCACTTTACAGTCTTTATCTTAAATTCTTCACCCCCAAAGAATCCCAAAAGGGTTTTAAAACCCATATGTGTGCTAGGTCATATTTATAAACCAACCCAACACTCTGGTCGTACAGATTCACTCACCAGGCTTTAGAACTGAATCTTCATTGATATTTTTTCCCCCTCTTTTTGTTTCTCATTATGCTTGAGATATTTGAAGTGAAATTTTTACTAAGCCAGACAAGTTTATTTTTCTCAATCCAATAGAGAGAAATCCCAAAATGATCAGTTTTGTTATTGGTATTCTTGACAGGGCCCCATCATCAATGAAGAAACATCAGAAAAATACCCTAACATGTGCGTGTCACTCCTTCTCAACTTTTAAAATAATTCAAAGTTTTCTTGTAGGCTTCATTCTAGTATCATAGAAATCAAACTGGATTTCAATGTAATATGGAACTATCTTACTTATCTGGGGGTACATAGGCAGAGTCTAGCCCTCAGAAATTCTGAGGGTCGTAAACTGTATATAGGTTTTGAGTGGAGAGGACTTAATGCCTTAGGAATCATTTAATTTTGATTCTTAATCAGAGACAATCTGATTTAGGCTAGGTGCAGAGAACAGCTTCTGTGAAAGTCTAACTGCCTACAAATATAAGTGGATAGCACCTCACACCCATCCTTCAGAATTAGCTTCAGGTTAATTTGAACCAGTAACCAAGAAGCTAAGATGGTTCTGCCTAAAATGTGAACTCCTTTAATTTCTGAAGCTAACAGTATGCCTCTTTCATAGGTATTTTTGCTGTCTAACTTTTGAAATCACAACGTTATCAATCATTTCATATGAAAATTTATTTTCTGAAATGCCTAAAAACTTATAGTTATGATCTTTAAAGATTGGGTTAACTATCATTTTCTAGAATTGACAGATTTGATACAAGCCCTTTTATATTACTAATGCTGTTCTTGTTAACATTTTGACTGCTTTTAAAATCTTCCAATTCTTTGGATCTCATATATTTTCTTTTCCTTAGAGCTTTTAGCTCTAAGGAAAAGCACTTAGTAATTTTCAAAGGCTTTAGTAAATAGGAATTTCTTCAGCCCCATTTTTATTCAGCCCTCTTCTTGGATACTACACCATTTCTTACAAAAGGAATAACCCTAATACTTTCCATTAACATTGCTGACTGAGGGTTGCTAATGTCTGTTAAAATGCAAACACTGCTTGTGATCTTAATAAAATGCTAGAGGTAAGTGCCATTATGTGCATTTGCAGCAGACTGTGACTAAAAGCAATATGTAGTTAACTAACTCTCTCACAAATGGAACAGTACCAATCAGACAGCCCAGCCCAGCCCAGCCCTGCCCAGCCCAGCAATCGTTAAAAGTCTCACCTGCCTGGCTCTTCTTACTGAGAGTGGAAGGCCAGAGGCAGAAGTCAGAGGTGGCAGTGTCATCATCTGTAAAATGAGGGGGATGAGCTCTAAGTTCCCTTCCAGCTCTAGTGCTCTACGATCAAGAATTCCAAGGTAGAAGAAGAAGCAACAGCCTTAGGGGAGAGGTAGACAGGTTCCCATCCCTAAGTACTTTCCCAGAATCCACACGCCCACAAGCAGAGGGTGAAAAGCTGGTGAGCAGCTCTTAATATCAGAAGCACACACTTTCAAGATGACAAACCAAAACTAACACAGCTCAGGCAGTGACTCTCTGCTTTTTATAAGTTCTTGCCTCTACAACCCCTCCCAAATACAATACCCTGAGAAGTTCAGATTTAAAACTGTAGAAAGTATTTCTGAAGGCAAAGAAGCCAAATGAGCCCCTGAAAACTATTATTTTGAGACAACAGTCTTCTTAAGACTTACAATAATTTCACTCAACTAGTAAAGATTGTCTGCCTAGAGCATTATACTCTTTTAAGAACTATCTATATGGGATCAAATGGACAACAGCAACTCAAAAGATTAGATAAGAACCTTAGTGAGCAGTGAGTTTGTTAATGGGGGAGGAATAACTCAGAAAAGGTGGGTGAGAATGGGTGCACAACTCAAAGAATGTAATCAATGTCACTGAGATGTATATGTAGAAACTGTGAAACTGGTATATGTTTTGCTGCGTATATTCTCAAGAACAGAAATAAATTAAATTATTAAAAAACAAAATAAAATCAATGTGTAACCCTCTACTCAACCCCCTAAACAATGTAGGAAGTGCTTAAAACAGAATAGAAAGGGGAGCAACTGAGATTTAATGTCTCCTCCACACCATGTCTGGCATGCAATGCAAGCACTGAAGGCAAGCCACAGATGGTCCTCAGCAAGCCTTTCCACTGCAGAGCATCTAGGTGAACTTGAGCTGCCAGAGCTAATAGTTATAGGCAGGCTACTTCTCTATGTATTAAGTTCAATTCTCAGATCATGTGAAAGAAACCAGAATAACATGAGCAATTTAAAACGGAAAGAAGTCACACTTAAAATGTCAACGTTTGCCCTCTACAGAAGCACAGAGTTCACACAGATAGGCATGTTAATGGAAAAAATGCTTCTCATGTGTATATGTACTTAAAACATACTGTAGTGATAATTAAAATTCCATATGGTTTCACTTATTTTGATGCAGAAACCTCATTAAAACCCTTAATGTGGGGCCCTGCCAGTAAACTCTAATATGCTTTTGAATTTATACCCCCAGACCTTCTTCCTTATTTTACCTGATATATTTTGCTGATGTCTTTATTATGTATAACGTGCCGGGATCACTGTACCTTTTTGGTTTATAGGTGCTAGCTAACGCAAATTGACATTCATTTTTCAATTAATGAGCTCTGGTTGTAGTTTATAGACAGCAATGCAACAAATTTCCGCTAGGTTTACAGTATTTTGACCAGTCACCTCTAGTCATTTGAGACTGCAATGTCTTGAGCAAAAAGAGCTATGTAGACTTTAAAGAGATTGTGGGGTAATTTTTTATAATTTACTAACAATAGTCTAGAATTTGCTGAGTCATTTTAATTTATCAAGAAATGTTTCTGAAACATACTGCAATGTGTTCTATGTGAAGAAATATTAAAACTTACTACATATAGTAAAACATGAGATCCAGTATATAACAATCCATCGTGGAGAGGTAAGAGAATCCTAAACTTAAAGAGAATATAAACCTCTTCCTGGTCCTTTACTTATTTATAATAACTGCTGCAGAAGCAAATTACAGAATTAATTTTTTTTTTCATACCATAGGGTTGTGTCTATACTTCCAACCTCTGTTTCTTACAAAAATTCAGGTTTTCTTTTAGTCTCCATCCATGTGGCATTGTGTCCTAAATTATTCATACCTTGTGTCACTAACCATATTAAAGCCACAAACTTCATGTATACATATGTACATATATATACATACGCACATACACGGATATATATATATAGGAGATACACACACACACACACATATGAGCTCTGATGCCATAGTGCCTAAGGCATTTGACTGCTAACCAGAGGGCTGGTGGTTCAAACCTACCAGCCACTATGTGGAAGGCAGACTGCTAACCAGAGGGCTGGTGGTTCAAACCTACCAGCCACTATGTGGAAGGCAGACTGGGCAATCTACTTCCATAAAGATTTATTGTCTCAGAAACCCAAAGAGGGTCTCTATGAGTTAGAATCGACTCTATGGCAGTGAGTTTGGTTTTTGGAGTTTTATACACACACACACACACCACACACACACACACACACACACATAGCTATTATATCAACTATGGGAGCTTTGGTGGCATAGTGCCTAAGATATCTGACTGCTAACCAGAAGGCTGGCACCCACCAGCCACTCCTCAGAAGGAAGATTGGGCAATCTACTTCTGTAGTGATACCGCCTCAGAAATCCAAGGAGGGGTTGCTATGAACTGGATCCGACTTGAAGGCAGTGAGTTTGGTTTTTGGTGTATCAACTAAAGTAAATAAAAATGTAAATTCTACTTATTAAAAGAGTTAACAAGATAAAAGCACAGAGAGCACTATTATCCAAATCTAACTTTGTAAATAAATGTAGAACCAAAGCTCAGCAACTGTCCCAGTGATGTGCATCTTATCCATGCAGCCTCAGAGCTCCCCGGAGTCAGTTTAAAAGCTCTGAGAGGTTCTACAGCCTACTGTTAAATAATACTATAGAAGGCTCAGAGATCTTTTGAAAATAATAGAAAACAACCTTCACAAACCCATTCTTTTTGTTGTTATCCATATATCCCTTCATGTACAAAATACATTAAACTTTGCTGAGCAATTGAAGTTGCTCAGAAGCTGAGAATGCTACAGTCACACTAAATTATCTAGTTCTAAGAGTCTCAAAATGGTGTGTGCCTACATTCAAGGGTACCTGGGAGGGACTGCCAACAGTTATTTGAAGCCCAAGATAAACATGTTGCATATTTCTGATGGACTGGCTTTACTCAACTTGGGGAAAGGGTACACACAGTCACTGGGAGTTGGAATGGATGAGATGGCAACTGTTCTCTCTGTAAACATGAATATGATATATGGAATACAATACACCACTCAGGTGAACTTTTACAAGCAAACAAATAAAAAATTACTTCAATTTTGCATTTGTGAAGCTTTTGGCTATGGCCCTAGATCCCCTAAGGTCCTGTACCATTTATTCTCCTCTGATGGTTGGGGTATTGTAATGGATAAGTCCAGGGCCCTAATTTACTGCTTAGATAATTCTAATCCAACCCTAGTTTGACATCCCCATGGTCCAGAGAAGGGAAGTATTTACTCAAAATTACAAAATCACACACAAAGACCTCTTTGACTTCTGACAAAAGATATGCAACTTTAGTTACCCTTAAAGAATATGGTGGACAGAAACACATCTATATCTATA